TTCCTGCTCCTTTGTAATCCCTCCCTTCCATGCTTTCCTGAAGCCTCTTTTCTCAAGCACCCACTGATCTGCCTTCTGTTACTATAGACTAGTTTGCATTTTTTCAGCACATGGAATCATACAATATGTATTCTATTTTGTGTGGCTTCTTTCACGCAGCATAATTATTTTGAGATTCATCTGTGTTGGTGCAGGCATCTATAATTCCTTTTTATTCCTAAGTATTCCATTGTATAGTTATGCCATGATTTGCTTATCCATTCATCTGCTGATGGACATTTTGGTTGCTTACACTTCTCAGCTATTACATATAATGGTGCTATGAACATTTGTATGGACATATCTCTCCCCTTTTAAGGGTAAACACTTAGGAGTGGAATGGCTGAATCAAGTGGTAGGTACACATTAACAATTTATGAAACTGCTGAACTGTCTTTCAAAGTCTTTGTACCATCTTACATATTTAGCAGCAGTATATGAGAGTTCCAGTTCCTTCACGTCCTTGCTAACATACAAAATGATCAGTCATAAATTTTAGTCATTCTAGTGGGCATGTAATGGCATCTCCTTGTGGTTTTTATTTTGTTCTTTTTGTTTTGAGACGGAGTCTCACTCTGTCACCAGGCTGGAGTGCAGAGGTGCGATCTCAGCTCACTGCAACCTCTGCCTCCCAGGTTCAAGTGATTCTCCTGCCTCAGCCTCCCAAGTGGCTGGGATTACAGGCACCCACCACCATGCCTGGCTAGTTTTTTGTATTTTTAGTAGAGATGAGATTTCACCATGTTGGCCAGGCTGGTCACAAACTCCTGACTCAGGTAATTCACCTGCCTCAGCCTCCCAAAATGCTGGGATTACAGGCGTGAGCCACTGCGCCCATCCTGGTTTTATTTTTGAGACAGAGTCTCACTCTGTCGCTCAAGCTGGTGTGCAGTGGCACAGTCTTGGCTCACTGCAACCTCTGCCTCCCAGGCTCAAGTGATTCTCCTACCTCAGCCTCCCAAATAGCTGGGATTACAGGTGTGTGCCACCACACCCAGCTAATCTTTTTGTATTTTAGTAGAGATGGGGTTTCACCATGTTGCCCCGGGTGGTTTTGAACTACTGAGCTCAGGCAATCCATCTGCCTTGGCCTCCCAAAGTGCTGGGATAACAGGGATGAGCCACCTCACATGGCTATAGTCTCACTCTTGAAAGAAATTCAACTGCCAATTTATTTCAATGAATTAATTCATGACAAAATTTGTTAGTGAAAAACGATAGTAAAAAGTTATCACTAAGTTGTTTTCACAATAACAAATATTTATTTGTCATTAGACACTATAAGAAGGTAAGTTTGGCCAGGCATGGTGGCTCACACCTGTAATCCCTGCACTTTGGGAGGCCGAGGTGGGTGGATTACCTGAGGTCAGGAGTTCAAGACCAGCCTGACCAACATGGAGAAACCCCATCTCTACTAAAAATACAAAATTAGCCAGGTGTGATGGTGCATGTCTGAAATACCAGCTACTTGGGAGGCTGAGGCAGGAGAATAGCTTGAACCTGGGAGAGGTTGCAGTAAGCCGAGATCACGCCATTATACTCCAGCCTGGGCAACAAGAGTAAAACTCCATCAGGCACAGTCACGCCTGTAATCCCAGCACTTGAGGAGGCTGAGGTGGGCAGATCCATGAGGTCAGGAGTTGGAAACCAGCCTGGCCAACATAGTGAAACTCGGTCTTTACTAAAGATACAAAAAATTAGCCAGGGGTGGTGGCGTGTACCTGCAACACCAGCTACTTGGAAGGCTGAGGCAAAAGAATTGCTTGAACCTGGGAGGCAGAGGTTGCAGTGAGCCAAGATTGGGCCACTGCAATCCAGCCTAAGCAACAGGGCCAGACTCTGTCTCAAAAAAAAAAAAAAAAAAAGAGCAAAACTTCATTTCAAAAGTTTGACTCTATGGATACCGATAAGCCACATCAACAACATGCCAAATAATTTTTTTTTTTTTTTTGAGATGGAGTCTCACTCTGTTACCCAGGCTGGAGTGCAGTAGTGTAATCTCAGCTCACTGCAACCTCTGCCTCCTGGTTTCAAGTGATTCTCCTGCCTCAGCCTCCTGAGTAGCTAGGATTTCAGATGCACACCACCACGCCTGGCTAATTTTTGTATTTTTAGTAGAAATGGGGTGTCACTATGTTGGTCAGGCTGGTCTGAAATTCTTGACCTCAGGTGATCCGCCTGCCTTGGTCTCCCAAAGTGCTGGGATTACAGGTGTGAGCCACCACAGCTGGGTGCCAAAGAAAACTTTTGATGGAGCATAGTGATTTTCAATTCTAGGCACAATGCAGGCAGGATACAAGAAACTTTTTTTTTTTTTTTTTTTAAGAACAGAGTCTCACTGTATCACCCAGGCTGGAGTGCAGTGGTACAATTACAGAGCACTGCAGCCTCAACCTCCTGGGCTTAAGGAATCCTCCCACCTCAGCCTACCAAGTAGCCAGGACTACAAGTACATGCCACCGTGCCTGGCTAATTTTTCTATTTTTTGTATAAACGGGGTTTTGCCATGTTGCCCAGGCTGGTCTCAAACTCCTGAGCTCAAGCCATCCTCCTGCTTTGGCCTCCCAAAATGCTGGGATTACAAGTGTGAGCTACCATGCCTGGTCTGCAAGAAACTTCTTTACGTACTCCTCCATTCTCTTCTGTACGCCTTTCTCATACTTTGATATCTCCTATCGTAATCCTTCCCTTCCCAGCCAAAACATCTCCTGACATCACAACTATCATGTTTCACCTTGGTTTTTATCTTCTCTAGGCAAAGTAACCTAGCTCCTTCAATAATTCCTGAAGAAAATAAACAAGCAAATACTGAAGTGAATACAAAAAAACATAAGCAATCAAAGAAAATTTGCTAATTGGATTTAAAATTTTAAACCTTTATACTTCAAAAGACACTATCGAGAATACGGAACAAAAGCCCAGTCTGGAAGAGAATATCTGAAAATATTGTTATCCAAATAAAATAGGGAGCTTGTGTTCAGAACAGATAAAGAATGCTTAAAATGCAATACTAAAATGACAATCTAAAGTGTGGAATGGATTTGAGTAGACATCTGTCCAAAGAACATAGAGTGCCAATAAGTATATGAAAAGATGCTCAACATCACCAGTCATTAGGCAAATGCAAATCAAAAACACAATTAGATACCACTTCACCCTGTTGCTAAACAATTGACTGATAAGAGCTGATGGATAAATACTCTTCACCCTTTGGGGTGGGATGACTCTCAGGGACATAACTCTAAATGGGCTCCCGAGTTTCCCAACAGGCTTAAGCTCCAGTTACCCATAATAATAATATATTTGATAACACACTCTGTCTTCTTTTTCCTATCTCATTTCCCCACTTTCCAGCCATTGTTTCCTGGGATCACTTTATGAAAAAAAAGTACTTGCACTCAAATCCTTACCTCACAGTCTACTTCTGGGAGCAACCTAAAGACTTAAAGTGGAAGAGAGTGAGATGTGGGACTGAGGTTGGAGGTTTCATAAATGGTTTGAGAGGGTAATCACCAACAGTTTTCCCCTGTCTCTCCAGTTTTTAACTTCTCCCTTTTCAGAATCTCCATTCCCTCTTCAGAAATTATCCTGTCTTTTTTTTTTTGAGACGGAGTTTCGCTCTTGTTACCCAGGCTGGAGTGCAATGGCGCGATCTCAGCTCACCGCAACCTCTGCCTCCTGGCTTCAGGCAATTCTCCTGCCTCAGCCTCCTGAGTAGCTGGGATTACAGGCACGTGCCACCATGCCCAGCTAATTTTTTGTATTTTTAGTAGAGACGGGGTTTCACCATGTTGACCAGGATGGTCTCTATTTCTTGACCTTGTGATCCACCCGCCTTGGCCTTCCAAAGTGCTGGGATTACAGGCATGAGCCACGGTATCCTGTCTTTTATAACACCTTCCTGACATTATAACTTCCCCCTAGCTATTGCCACAGAGCTTACTATGCATTTATTTATCTATTTATGAATGAACGACAGGGTCTTGTTCTGTCACCATGACTTAAGTGGAGTGGTGTGATCATGGCTCACTGCAGCCTTGACCTCCCAGGCTCAAGTGACCCTCCCACCTCAGCCTCCCAAGCAGCTGGCACTACAGGCATGTACCAAAGCACCTGGTTAATTTTTAATTTTTTTTGTAGAGACAAGGTCTCACTCACTGTGTTGCCCAATTTTGTCTCAAACTCCTGGGCTCAAGTGATCCCCCACTTTGGCCTCCCAAAGTGCTAGGATGACAGGAGTGAGCCAACCACGCCTGGCCAATTATGTATCTTTAGTCAAGCTTTTAAAGAGTAAGCCAATTCATTCATACTGTGTGTCTTCAGATCTTAATCTTAATTCCAGTCATACCTAAACAGACTGCAATCTGACTAAAATCTATTAAGTTTACTGTTAATATAACAAATAACATCCTAAATGCAAAATGCAGTAGAAAATTGAGTCCTCATCTGTGGCATTTGACATTTTAGGCTCTTAAGCAACCTCTTTCCCATGAAGCATTAGGTTCTGATTTCACCTTTTTGAAATGTTTTTCTTAGACTTTTTTAAAGAACTCTCTTCCTCAGCTAAAACTTTATGTGATGGTATATATTAATGAACACTATTCTCTATCCCTTTTAACTTCTTCCATGCCCATGGATTCAATTGTTCATCTTTCTGGGAACAATTCTGAAATCTGTACTTCCAGGCATACTTTGATGATGGTCCTCTCAAGTTCCCACTATTCTTGTATACACTGACATTAAATCAACTATCATGTGATATTTGAATTATCAGTATGTCTTTTCTCATTAGAATGTCAGTTTCCTAAAGCCAGAAATTATGTGACAGGCACAGAGTTGCGCTCAATATTTATGTAAATGGCTGAAAGATTCTTTCATTTCCTGGATCCTGTCAGATAATCTACAGTATTATCTAGCAAATACAAAACTAATTGCAGATATATGATCCATCAATTTCTCACCTTGTGTTTTCTTTGTGTCTTCACTTTCCATGCTTGTCTGTATTCTTTTTCCTTATATTTCATCTATAAGACAAAGGTATTTTCTCAATTTAAATCAATGTTTGAGAATGCCAAAGATATAAATATAAAGGGGTGGGAAACATTGTTTTCCTGAAGCCAAAAGACCAGGGAACTACAACTTTTAAAATAATAATTAAATGTAATTAACTTAGTTGAATAATAAGTTGAATCTGCAACTTATTAGATGTGTGATAAGTTGAATCTGCACCTTATTAATTGTGTAATATCAAGCAAGTTGATTAAATTCTTTGAGGCTCTGTATCCTCATCTGTAAAATAGCAATGATATTCCTATTTCACAGAGTTGTTACAATTACATTTAAAACATACATCAATGCAACTGGCATTTTTAAGCACTATATGCATGTAACAAATTTTATTAAGCAAATGAATGATTGGGTGCCTGGATTCTGGTCCCATTTCCTTCTTCTTTTTTTTTTTTTTTTTTTTTTTTTTTAAAGCAGGGTCTCACTCCGATGCCCAGGCTGGAGTGCAGTGGTTTGATCATGATTGAGTGCAGCCTTGACCTCCCAGTCTCAGGTGATCCTCCAGCCTCCAGAGTAGCTAAAACTACAGGCACATGCCACCACACTTGGCTAATTTTGTGTATTTTTTGTAGAGATGGGGTTTTACCATATTGCCCAGGCTGGTCACAAACTCCTGGGCTCAAGCAATCCACATACCTTAGCCTCCCAAAGTGCTGGGATTACCGGTGTGAGCCCCCACACCCAGCTCTCACTTTCTTCTTATTTTTCTCATGAAAATATTCATCTCATAGTTTCAGATTAGGGACCCCTCTACCAATGAGAGGTTTAAAAACACACACACACTTTTCAGATTGGCCTTTCTCTTCACAAGCTAAATACTAAATTAACAACCCATGAGTATTTTCAACATGGTATAGTGAAATGGGATCTCACTGTGCTGTCCAGGCTGGTCTCCCAACTCCTAAGCTCAAGCAATCCACCCATCTCAGCCTCTCAACAGTGTTGGGATTAAACAGTTGAGCCACCATGCCCAGCCCAGAAGCATTTTTAAAATAACTGGCAACTCTGATATGGCCTCTCACATACCTTACTTTTTAAAATCCTAAACTGATTAGTTAGAAAAATGTCTCAGAGTCCAGTTAACTTCTCAGGGCAAAAAAATCAGGATTCACAGAACTCTAAAATTCTTATTCATTCCAACACTATGTTGTTAAAGAGAGATATCCAATTATCCATTTATAGAGCAAGACCTTGTCTCAAAAAGAAAAAAAAAAAAAAAAAGAAAATTCCTAAGCACAAAGAAATGTTTAAAGAAATAACAATTTAACAATCTTTTATAAAGTAGTATACAAATGTACAGGTATATTATTTTTGCATTTTTATAATGAGGCAGGGTCTCAATCTGTCACCCAGGCTGTAGTGCAGTGGCATGATCTTGGCTTACTGCAGCCTCAAACCCCTGGGCTCAAGTGATCCTCCTGCCTCAGCATTCCGAGTAGCTGAGACTACAGGCGGATACCACCATTAATTTTTTTGTTTTATTAATTTTTAAATATTTTTTGAAGAGACAGGGATTTTGCTATGTTGCCCAGTCTGGTCTTGAATTCCTGGCTCCAAGTGATCCACCCATCTTGGCCTCTCAAAGAGCTGAGATGACAGGCATGAGTCACCATGCCTGGCCCATTTTTTAACCTAAATATTACATTAAAATAGAAATAGCTATTTTATGATAAATCCACAGGATAGGATATTACAAGAATATTCACATTTACTAGAAATGGTCAATGGCAAAGAAAAATGCTTACATTACAGAGTTAACCAAAAAGTAGATTAAACTCAATTTAATCTACAGTATTATCCCAATTAGATAGAGGTAAACATAAAATAAGTCTGGCTAGAAAGATGACAATAGTAACACTTGTTTTTAGCAGGTGGTTCTATGGGTTTTATCCAACTATTTTCTATTTTTCATAATTTTTATAATAACAACAGTATCTAACATTCAGTAAATATCTATTGAGGTTAGGCTCTGTTCTTTACACCTTACGAATATTCTTTTTAGTCTTCACGATAACCTTATGAGGGAATTATAAGGATGAAGATACGTGAGGCAAGGGCAAATAATTTGACAAAGTTCAAATTGCTAGTAAGTGTCAGAGTTAAAATGGGAACCAAGAAAATTTGAGGCAAGGGCCTATACTCTTATCCTCTCTTATACTGTCTCCCGTATATAAATATATATTGTTTTTAAACAAATGGGTTAAGATTTAGAAAAGATTATAAATTTTAAAAAATGAACTCTTTAAAAAATGGACAATTGTTATCATATATGGATGTTTTTGTTTCGTGGATGACTTTAAGGGCTATTTCCTTAATTTTAATTATCCAATCTATTCTGTTTTTAATATAATTTTTAAGAGAGGAGTAATGTATAATTTTTAAACCTAAATGCTTTGAAATAAAAACTGACCACCCACACTACCTGTTTTCTCCCTTTGTTTTTATACTTTTTTCTTAATAAAGGGTTACTTTGCACAATAAGATAGTTTGCCAAGTACCTGGGAGCATTAACACAAGTCATCTATGTACTTGCGAAGTGCTTAAAAACACCCATAGCAAAGGGCAAGTTATAGCTTTCAAGAGGTTGATAATCATAAAATTTTAAATTATAAAAAAAGTATAGGCCGGGCACGGTGGCTCAAGCCTGTAATCCCAGCACTTTGGGAGGCCGGGGCGGGTGGATCACGAGATCAAGAGATGGAGACCATCCCGGTCAACATGGTGAAACCCCGTCTCTACTAAAAATACAAAAAATTAGTTGGGCATGGTGGCGTGTGCCTGTCATCCCAGCTACTCAGGAGGCTGAGGCAGGAGAACTGCCTGAAGCCAGGAAGCTGAGGTTGCGGTGAGCCGGGATCCCGCCATTGCACTCCAGCCTGGGTAACAAGAGTGAAACTCCATCTCAAAAAAAAAAAAAGTTATATTCTCAAGAACAAAAGCACCTGCCATATAAAGCAGATTACGAAGTGCTTTCAGTAATTTAGTGAATATAGGTACTGTCACAAACAAGGAGATTTCAAAATTCTTTACTGTATTCTCAGAGGAAAAAGGGTTTTTTTCTGGATAACAGAAAGAACCTCTCCCATTTACACATTTCACTCAATCGATTCCCCAAAACAGTACTGTTAACTTAAATTCAAATTTCAGTAAGAAAAGTAGCTGAACATTATTGTTTACCTGATTTAGGAAATGTATATCAAAAGTTTTTAGCAGACAGGGCAAAGTAGCTCGCACCTGTAATCCCAGCACTTTAGGAGGCCAAGGTGGGTGGATGACTTCAGGCCAGGAGTTCGAGACCAGCCTGGCCAAGATGGTGAAACCCCGTCTCTATCAAAGAAAAGTATAAAGATTAGGTGGGCGCCGTCAGGCACCTGTAATCCCAGCTACTCAGGAGGCTGAGGCAGGAGAGTTGCTTGAGCCCAGGAGGTGGAAGTTGCAGTGAGCCGAGATCAACCTAGGTAATGGTGGGAGACTTTGTCTCAAAACAAATAAATAAATTAATTAATTAAAGAAAGCTTTTTTTTCGAAACAGTCTTGCTCTGTAGCCCAGGTTGGAGTTGAGCGGCACGATACCAGCTCACTGCAACCTCCACCTCCCGGGTTCAAGCGATTCTCCTGCCTCAGTCTCCCAAGTAGCTGGGATTACAGGGGCCCGCCACCACACCCGGTCAAGAAAGCTTTTTGAAATCGAAATTTTATCCCAAGATACCAGAAGGATAAATGGTATCTTTTTGTGTAAGGCTGGCAGGACTGATAATCCCACCACTAAATTGTTGTCCGTGGATACCCGGCTTGGAATTATATACAGCAAAAATACCCTCTAAAGAAGAGACAAGAGAGAAAGGGCAAATTGTTTTCAATGGTTTAAACAGATTGAGAAATAACAGTCACTCAGGTCCCAGAAAAGGCACTGAGGGTACCAGGAGTCAGCTGGCTTTACAATATGAAACCCTCCCCCGCGCCTCCCGCCAAGAGCATAAATCCTCAGGGCCTCCTCCTGGGTTCCATGGGTGACAGGCAACCTTTCCAAGGCGGGAGCACTCACCCCGCGGCCAACTCACCTACAGAGTTGGAAGAATTCCTTGTGCAGCGCTTAGGTGGCCCCTCCAGGCTCCTCTCCGACCAGGGCTCGCAAGTCCTGCGCGGGAGCAGGGCACTGGTTGGCGGCGCGGGCCACTCGGGCCATCAGCCCCCTCAGCAGGCCCTCCCCACTCAGGTGCTGTGGGACGCGCGGCCCGGCCCTGACTCTGAGAAACTACCTCACCGGTGGGTCCCACCGTCTCCACACATCAGAGTCACGTGGGGAGGAGCCTAGGTAGTCGGACGTGAATTCGGGGCGAATACTGCCAGGCTCTACACACCTCTAAATGGTGCGTGATAAATGTCTCTTCCCGCCAAGGGCTGTGGGGACTACAGCCGGGGCCTGGCACCTGCCCATAAGGGCCCTTCCCCCAACTCTACCCTTCTCCTCATGTGGGCTAACAAGGGCCTGACGAGGCAGTAGGGCCTCCTGGCCGGCCCAACCCGCCTTCCACAGGCACTAACATACGGAGTTTTCAGGAGCAGTAAGGCAGGACCCGAACGCGCAGGAGGGAACCTGACCTCTACCCTCCCACGACGGCGTTCGCCCTTTCTTCCTCACTGCCCACTGCCACGACGCCCAACGGCTTTCCCGCCCAGCCGTCCAGGCTCACGTCCGGGGGCGGGACTTCCGGGAGGCATCCCTGTCATCCCTATGCAGAGTCTAATTGCCTCCGCAGGTGCCCCAGGTTGCCAATGGCAAGGGAGTGGCCGGCGTCCAGATGCAGGGTTTTTAGAAAAGTTACAATTTGAAAGAGAAGTCTAATCTCACAGTTCCTGGTTTTTAGGGTTTTTACTTCAGAGGAGCATTAGCCCCAAAGTTAGGGAACCGTGAGCGCGGTTGACTAGGCCTGGGTCTGGGACGGTGGCCGCAAGGCGCTCGGCGGCGAAGCCTCAACTTCCCCTCTGCCTGGCACCTGTATTTTGCACTGTGCCTTCTCCCTTTTGTTGGGCACCCCGCTGATGGTCACCGCAGCCCCACAGAGGCAGCCAGGCCTCCAACAAATCAGGGGACCTCCGGAGTTCAGTCCAGACGCCCTTTTCCGCGCCTGGACCAAAGGATCAGAGTGGGGCCCAGGCTAAGGCCTGTCCCTTGCCTCCTCTGCCATTAAAATGCAGCCCACGGGACGGCTAGGCGATGGAGGAGTGAGGAATGCCCCCGATACGGTGAAGAACAGCTAAAGAAGGGCTGACACATCAGGGCCCAGAACACCAAGTGCCTGTAAAGTACCCTCGCAAATCGAACAGGTTCTCACTTAGGAGACGCTGGCCTCAGAGACAGCTGCAGGAAGGTTGCCCTAGGGTACTGAGAGTCATGCAGCACGGACCACATGCCTCAGCCATAAATATTAACACATCAAGCCTGAAACCGGACACTGCCCCACCTTCTGGATTTCCCCTCTGTTTACATCTACTACTTCCTTTTCTTTTGTCCTCTAATATGCTGGTGAATGCTAATAGTCCCACGTGAGTTTTCTTTAAAATGAAATTTACAAGCATATATAGGGGTCCGGGCATGGTGGCTCACGCCTATAATCCCAGCACTTTGGGAGGCCGAGGCGGGTGGATCACGAGGTCAGGAGTTCAAGACCAGCCTGGCCAACACAGTGAAACCCCGTTTCTTTAAAAAAGAAAAGAGAAAGTATAAATAATTTGAGTGGAACGACCCCACAAAATTTTTTTTTAATTGCATTTTAGGTTTTGGGGTACATGTGAAGAACATGCAAGACAGTTGCATAGGTACACACGTGGCAGTGTGATTTGCTGCCTTCCTCCCCTTCACCTATATCTGACATTTCTCCCCTTGCTATCTCTCCACAACTCCCCACCTCCCGCTGTCCCTCCCTTATTCCCCCCAACAGACCCCAGTGTGTAGTGCTCCCCTCCCTGTGTCCATGTGTTCTCATTGTTTAACACCTGACCCCATAAAATTTAAAGAAGTAGGTGTAAGCAGCCAAAACTCAAGTTAGTTAAGACAACACTACATACAAGGGAATGGTCTTGTTTTCTGTAAAAACTACATATTCAGAAATAATTTCTTTTTAAATTCTATTTGTTTTAACAAATGATGGTCATAAAATGTCCGTAGCTAACATTTGCACATGGCTTACATTCATTATTGAAGACGGTAAGAAAAAAATTTTTTTAACTATCTCTAATAAAACACAAGAGATAATCTGTGGCAAGTAACTTTGAAATAGCAAGCCAATATTGATGCTCAATGAGAAATGGATAGGATTCATTTTCTAGGAAAATGACTGTCTCCTTTCCCCTCCTCACAAAGAACAAGACTACATTATTACAAATGAGAAAAAATGTTTATTAAGGAAACAATTTAGCAGCTCTCCTTTAGAATTTTACAGACCAAAGCACAACCCAAAGGCAATTACAGTTTCAATCATTAACGCACCGTCTAAGGTGCTTACTCTACAACTGGAAAGTTGCTGAAGTTTGTGACATGCCACTGTAAATGTAAGTATTATTAAAAATTACAAATTGTTTGGTGATTATTTTGATGACCTCTTGAGCAGCAACTCCTGAAAGGAAAAAGGAGAAATGCAAATCTTTGAAAAGAGTGATCAAGAATTATATATAAATACTCAATTCGATAAAGAAATCTTTCCTTTTCAAAAGCAAAAGTGTTTGAAAGTGACTCAAAACAGATGCAGTTAGCTTACTGATTCGTATCAACATAAAAGCCTATAATTCTTTTTGTTATTAAAGGAAATCTAAATAGTAGTGTGATTGGCCAAACTTCAAAAGATACACACAGGCATAAAAGATTCTCAAAGGACACCATTCTGCTGCATTTTAATTTTATCTTATATCTCTTTAACTTTTATAATAAAAAAGGAGAAAGGTATATTTGTTCTAAATGCATTTGCAGTTTAGGAAGGATCTATATTAAATATTGCCAGACTGCTATATTTACTCAAAAGAAAAAAAAAGTAAGAAAAAAAGTTGTGCATCTTTTATATCCTGAAGATTCCTCTTTCCCAAATATTCATGGACTGGATAGAATTTTTTTTTTTTTTTTGAGACAGAGTCTCAACTCTCTCACCCAGGCTGGAGTACAGTGCATGATCTCGGCTTGCTGCAGTCTCCTCCTCCCAGGTTCAAGTGATTCTCCTGCTTCAGCCTCCCGAGTAGGTGGGATCACAGGTGCCCGCCACCACACCTGGCTAATTTTTTTGTATTTTTAATAGAGACAGCGTTTTACCATGTTGGCCAGGCTGGTTTCTAACTCCTGACCTCAAGTGATCCGCCCACCTCAACATCCCAAAGTGGAGGCCTTACAGGTCACTGTGCTCAGCTGACTGGAAAGAATTTGTGACTACCGTGCACCATATACTGTTATAGGTAGTAGGGATACAGTAGGGAAAAAAGACAAAAAGATCCACTTGCCCTCTATGTTACTTTTTAGCAGCGAGAGAGAAATAATTTACAAATAAATAGAATGTGTAGTAAGTCAACTGACCATAGGCGCTAAAGAGAAAATTCAAATAAGGGAGATATAAATGCAGGATATAAGGTTCAGTTTTAAATAGGGGAGTCAGGGATGGCATCACAGAGAAGACAGCATTTGAACAAAACCTGAAAAAAGTGAGGGGATATGATGGCACTATGCAAAATGATTACAGAATGGATAGCAGTAAAAAAAACAAAACAAAACAAAAAAACTCTTCAATTTATACTTTTTTTCTGCTATAGACAAGTCATCTAGTCCATCCATCTGGCTGTACCTCTTCTCAACATTCTGGACTAAATCTGAATAAATAATAATTTGCCCTTTTCTGTGAATTGGCAGTTAACTCTGCTATTCTGGCACAAGAGACTTGGTTTTAGTTTAAAATAAATTACTACAAATCAGGCTTTAATTTGGATTTGCTTAGAAAATAGTTTTCTTAAGTCTTATGATTTATTTACATTTTGAACACTTCAAATATTAATCAGACCTAAATCTGCCTTCAAAACATTCAATATCTAGAAGGAAAATGCCATGAGCAAATAGTTCAGTCTACAGGAGATCACAGACAGGAGAGTAGTATTTTTTTGAGGGGTGTTACGTACTAAATGGTTTGTGTCCCCCTCAAATTCATATGTTGAAATCCTAACCCCCAGTATAATTGTGTGAGGATAGGGCCTTTGGTAGGTGATTAGGTCAAGAGGGTAGAACCTTCATGAATAAGATTAGTGCCCTTAGAAGAGACCCCAAAAACTTCTTTTGACATTTTTTTCCACCATGTGAGAACACAGAAGAGAGAGCCGTCTATGAACCAGGAAACAGCCTCTCACCAGACCCTGACCATCCTGGCACCCTGATCCCAGACTTCTAGCCTCCAGAACTCTGTGATAGATTTTTGTTGTTTATAAGTCTATGATATTCCGTTACAGCAGCCCAAGGTGACTAAGACAAGGGGGAAGTAGAGTGAGAGAGGGAAGTAAAGGGAGCTTTTATGAAAGACATCATTTTTGAGTTGGGCCTTGAAGAATATGTAGCTTTTGGATATGCAGAAAAAGATATTTTATGGCAAATAGCCCCAAAGGAGCAAAGATCTAGGAGCAGGAAATCAAAGAGCATGCCTGAGGGGAATGCGAGTAATATGATAAAAACCAATGCTAGAGAGGCTGAGTAGAACCAGAACACAGGGTTTTTAATATCAAGCCAAGGTCCCTGGGCTTGCTTTGAGGACTGTTGAGGGCAGAGGGTTAGTAGAAGGACACAATCAGAGCTATGCTTTAGAAGGATGAATGACTGTTCAGAAGTTTAAGTTGGTTGGCAGTGGGAGAAACGGAAGGCAGGGAGACCAGTATAGGGGGAATTGAGTAAGTATTTTAACCTGGGCAACACAGTGGGACCTTCTCTCTACAAAAAACTAAAAAATTAGCCAGGCACGTTGCTACACACCTGTAGTCCCAGCTATTCAGGAGGCTGAGCCCAGGAGGTTGAGGTTGCAGCAAGCTATGATCGCGCATCACTACACTCCAACCTGGCAAAAGAGTGAGACTGTGTCTCAAAAAAAAAAAAAAGAAAAAGAAATATAACATCCTGCTTCACTGCCCTCCCTAATTAAAATAGCTATGACAACAAAACTTCATATTAAAATAGTAACTGTACTATTAATAACAGGTGAGTCTTCTCATATATGGAACTCACCCCCCAAGAATGCAGCAATGGTATGTGGCTCAGCGGCTCCATATCGGCAACTAGAAGAGAGCACAGAGACATGAATTTTGATTAGCCTTATGACAGGTGAGGTATCATCTCTTAGACACCCTAAAAAATACTCACAATTCATGGACATAATCATCTTTCACCATTACAGATAAACCGTATTCCTGAAGGAAGCCAGTGAGACAAGACTTCAACTTTCCTATATCTTCTTCAACTTGATAGTTAGATACCCCTAAAAATGAAAATTTTCATTACAATAAATGTGATTCAAAATTAATGGCTACCTCCTTTAATCTGTTTTCAGATGTTCTATTCAAAACATGTATGAAACTGAAGAACAAAAATAACAAAGTATGAGACCAATATTTGCAAATATCACAAACCTATAATCAGAGACCAACTAAAACCTAGCAAAAATTTGAATTTAATTAAATCAGTTAATTGCTTCATACCCACTGTCTAGAAGAGCATCTGGCACATAGTGCTTAATAATTATTTGATAGAAGAACTGAAAGAGAAAGTAATGTCCTACTTATACCCTTTATAAAAGTTATTCTCCAATTCTAAAAGACTAAATAATAAATGACACTGAAGACATACTACTATTGATAACAGGTAACTTTTTTTTTTTTTAATGAGACACAGTCTTGCTCTGTCACTGAGGCTGGAGTGCAGTAGTGCGACCTTGGGTCACTGCAACCTCCGCCTCCCAGATTCAAATGATTCTCATGCCTCAGCCGCCCAAGTAGCTGGGACTTACAGGAGTGAGCCAACCAGCTAATTTGTTCTATTTTTAGTTTCCGTGTTGGCCAGGCTGGTCTCAAACCTGGCTTCAAGTGATCTGCCTGCCTTGGCCTCCCAAAGTGCTGGGATTTTAGGTGTGAGCCACCATGCTCAGCCAGTAATAGGTAACATTTATTGAGCATTAATAGATGCTGGACACTGTGTTCTAAGGACCTTATACATATTAACTGATTGAATCCTCACAACAGTCCTATGAAGTAGGTATAATCATCCCCATTCATAGAAGAGAAAACTAAGGCATAAGCAGATTAAGTTACTTAGCCATATACCGCTAACTAGGCTATGAGCCCAGGCAGTTCTTTTTTTTTTTTGAGACGGTGTCTCATGCTGTGGCCCAGGCTGGAGTGCAGTGGCATGATCTTGGCTCACTGCAACCTCTGCCTCCCAGGTTCACCAGGTTCAAACGATTCTCGGGCCTCAACCTCCCAAGTAGCTGGGACCACAGGTGTACACCACCATGCCCGGCTAATTTTTGTATTTTTGGTAGAGATGGAGTTTCACCATGTTGGCCAGGCTGGTCTCGAACTCCTGACCTCAAATAATCCACCTGCATCAGCCTTACAAAGTGCTAGGATTACAGGCGTGAGCCACTGCGCCCAGCCCCAGGCAGTTCTTCATGATTAAACTATAATGCCTATTATTACTAGTGGAAGGAAAAATGTAATTACATGATATTCAGGTATTATTTTTAAAAATCATAAAAAAACTATTATCGCTACTCTTCCAACAGTAATATCTATCCTTTACTGGATACT